CACTCCTCCTTCTCCCTTGCATCCATTTTCACAAATCCAATCCGCTAAAATTAGAAAACCAAAAAGCCATCCCATTCAGAGGGTGACATGCATTGAAAATCAAAATAATCAAACACCAAACCCTTCTGAAGAAGAACTGCCACATATTGTAGGATATAGGAGGAACGTTCTTCTTGGCGTAGGTGGCCTTTGTGGTGCTGTTACTCTGAATAACAATCCTTTTGCCTTTGCAGCTCCAATACCCCCTCCAGACCCATCCAACTGCGGTCCACCACACCCACTAAGCCTTAATGAAATACCCAAAAATTGCTGCCCTCCATCTTCCAAAATCATTGATTTCGAGTTCCCCTCTTACCAACACGTGCGGGTGAGACCAGCCGCACATTCGGTTAGTGACGACTATCTAGCTAAATACACAAAAGCCGTTGACCTCATGAAAAATCTCCCATCTGACGACCCACGTAATTTCATACAACAAGCCAACGTCCATTGTGCTTATTGTAATGGTGCATATCAACAAGTTGGATTCCCTGACCGTGAAATCCAAGTGCACAGCTCTTGGCTTTTCTTTCCCTTCCATCGATTGTATCTCTATTTCCATGAAAGGATGTTGGGGAGCTTGATCAATGACCCAACCTTCGCCCTTCCGTTTTGGAACTGGGATGCTCCCAAGGGCATGCAACTGCCTTCCATTTATGCAGACCCTAAATCACCTCTTTATGACCCTCTTCGCAATGCTAATCATCAACCACCAACACTCGTAGACCTTGACTTCGACCTTGATCATCCTAATGCCGATGGAAATATCTCCTCCAACCTAACCATAATGTACAGGCAAGTTGTGTCTAACGGGAAAACTCCTAAATTGTTCCTTGGAAATCCTTATCGTGCTGGGGATGAACCTTACCCAGGTGGTGGATCCGTGGAGAACGTTCCCCATAACCCTGTTCATCTATGGACCGGTGATATCAACCAGCCCAACATTGAGGACATGGGGACTTTCTATTCTGCTGCAAGAGACCCCATTTTCTATTCTCACCATTCCAATATTGATAGGATGTGGTCCATATGGAAAACACTTGGTGGGAAAAGAAGGGATTTCACTGACTCGGATTGGTTAGAATCTGGGTTTCTCTTCTACGATGAGAATAAGAACCTTGTTCGTGTGAAGGTCAAGGATTGCCTTGACACCAGAAAACTAGGGTATGTTTACCAAGATGTTGACATTCCATGGTTAAAATCTAAGCCCACACCGCGTATGTCTGGTGCTCGGAAGAGGGTAGCTGCATTTGAGAAGTCAAGGATTGTGAAGTTCCCACTGGTGTTGGATTCAGTTGTGAGCACAACGGTTGCAAGGCCAATCAAGTTGAGGAGCAAGAAAGCGAAGGAAGAGGAGGAAGAGGTTTTGGTGATTGAAGGCATTGAGTTTGACAAAACCACACCTGTGAAATTTGATGTGTTTATTAACGACGAAAATTTTAAGCAGATCCGAGCGGATGATACGGAATTTGCAGGAAGCTTTGTGAGTGTGCCTCATACGCGTATGCTCAAAGACAAGAATACCATCACTTCTATGAAGCTGGGGCTTACGGATTTGTTAGAAGATTTGGAAGCGGAAGATGATGATAGTATTAAGGTCACTCTAGTTCCAAGGTTCGGAGCTATCAAAATCAGAAACATCAAAATAGAGCTCATTGCAGATTAATTCGCCAGCGTCTCCAAGTGTGTGACTTTGTATTTTAATTACCTATCTTATGCCCGTTTTAATGTGATATGTTGTATGAAAACAGTTTATGAATAAAATAAAACAAGGATATAATATATATATTTGACTTTGTAAAAGTCAAGAATAGTCATTTATCTCGATCAATAATTGAGAGTTAATTTTGGAAACTAAATATAAATAAACAAGAATATGAAAATATGTGAAAAAAAATAAATTGTTTTAAAAATTTTATTGTTTTATTTTAATATTATGAAAAAAAATCAAATAAGTTCAAAATTATATATATATATATATATATATATATATATAATATTTTATTTAAATTAATATAAATTTAATAAATTATTAAATTTAAAATTAAAAAAAAACTAAAATTATAAATATATAAATAAGTTTTTTATTTTTTTTAAATCGAACCTTATAAGCAAAGAAGCTGGGGGTATCCTTAATGAGGACGTGCAAAAAGAATTTAGCCTAGCTTTGAGACACAACCAACTCCTAACCTTGATCATGTCCAAGAGTTAAAACATATTTGGTTTTTATGTAAATAGACCAAAGCCGCACAATCTGTCAGCAATATTTGTTTTTCTTCCCATTTGTCACTCCTAGATTCTGACCAAATTTAACATTGTGCGGTAGAATTATATTAAAACCGAACCACTCATAACAACTTGCCAAATCCATATGAAACAATGCAAGAAAAGAACATCTATAACTATATCTTATATATATATATATATATATATATATATATATATATATATATATATATATATATATATATATATATATATATATATATATATATAGGTCACATGTAAGATTTATATGATCATGAGATAAAAAACTGTTCTTTAAATATATTATAAGAAATACTGGTTTTACGACGGACAAATCAGTCCAAAATACAAATTCTGTCCTTAAATATTTTCTTCTAAGTAGACTTGAACTAATTTTTAATGTTTTCCTAGTTGCTTGTTCTTAATTCTGACCTGAAATGAGTATATAAGCCGTTTCATTATATACTTTCCTTAGTCATAAACTTTTCATTATATTTTATGTGCACTCATTAATTATAATTTTTGGTATATATTTTTACGCTCACCCATCTCCCCCACTTCATGTTATTTTTTATTTTGCATAGTTTTAATATATTTTTAATTAATGATTTAAATTCTTTGAAAGTAGTATAACTTTATTTGTATAAAAAAAATATAATAAAAACCTTACTTTAATTGTATGACCAATAAAAATTAAAATAAAAAATATATTAATGTTGAGAAAGATTAAACGAATTGAAAGTGATATAAATGTTTGATATTAATTATAACCAAATGTCTCAATAATAGAAATGTTTGTTATTAATATAAACAAATTTGTTAATTGAGTATTGTAACATAACCTAACCGAGGAAATTATAGCCAAAGATTAAATTTTTATCTTTTGTCCAATCAATATGATGAGAGTTCATTTGCAATGGAAGGGATTCTTGCTCAATGCATATCTTTTGTCGTTTTTCATGAATTTGGTTGCTTAATTTACTTTAATTTTTCTACCCGTTTAAATAAGTCAGTTTCCAAATTTGTCCTTTACGTTATTTTAATCCATTAGGGTATGCTTGATCACAAAAGTTCATGAAATTAATAGTTTCCAATAAAAGATAATAAAACACTTTCGTTGATTCATAGAGAAAGTGTATTGTAAAAAATAATAAGAAAATATACGGAATAAAAATGAAAAAATACACTAACATATTGATTGAGAGACTACATTTTTTTTTTGTTAGAAATGTGTCATATATAAAAAAAAGGTACGATAAGTTCTCTAAATTCTGAAATAGAAGTTACTTATTTTCTCTGTAAATTTTCTTTGTAAAAAATAATTTAAATGGGTAGGAAGTTCATTTCTTACAATTTTTATAAAAAATTGTAAAAATATTTTTATGAAATATGAAAATTTCTATCCTATATATATATATATATATATATATATATATATATATATATATATTACAATATAATAATATATATTGGTTTACTATCAATAGTTTTAAAATTAGATTTAGATTTTATATAATTAAAATTCTAGTACAACTGAATTTAATAAAATAGTATTTTTATAATATAATAAATTTATTAATATTAATATTTAAAAATTATTAATAAAGATTATCTCATGTTACAATAAAAATTATAAATATAAAATATAATAAAGAGTGTAAAATGAATAATATTAAAATAAAATAAAAATATGATAAAATAATTATATTTTAAAATTAACATAACTCAAATAAAAAAATTAAAATATATTATATTTTTTATAAAAAAAATTATATTAAAAATATTTCATCTTAAATTTATCGGTTTTGTTCTAGGTTAATTAAATTTTAATTATTTAAAAATAATAACCAATTTCTAGTAGTTTTCTTGTTTAATCGGTTGAATTAATTAGTTCAATTTTCAAAACCGAGGTTAGTATAATAGATTATTAACAAAAAAAAAATGTGAGAAATCAGTTATTGATTTATTATTTTTCATATAAAACTATGCTCTATTCATTTTCTTTCTTCTTGATGAGTCCTAATTAAAAATTGACTACTCAATTATTTAGTGTAATATTTTGTCAAAATTATGATGTTAACCATGATTCTTTTTATGCAAAATTGTAAAACAATTTTTTCTCAGAATTTGATGATGCTCATACTGCTCTTTCTTGGGTATCATTTCGAATTCCCAATAAATAAATCGCTGGTGTAAAAATACTAATTGCATTGTGTGAAAGGTTCAACATAGTAATATAAAACAAACTGGACCTGGAAAGAAAATAAAATTATCTGAGTTGCGATATTTGCGTACTATTTCATCGAAAATGGCTGTCTCCAGGTTGATCTAGCAGAGGATCCAAAATTTCAGGCCTTATGCAAAACAATAATAAAAAAATACAAATAGGACTACATATTACGTCTTAGCAAAGTTCCCCAATTGATCATCGTTATTATTTATTAATTCGTCTATGATCACCTGTATTTTGAATTCGTCAGGGAAGATATAGTGACTCGCACGGCAACGGAAATTACTCAGATAAATAAAATAATAAACAAACCAGTTTATCTTCATCCACGTGATTATATTAATTGACACCATGTTGATCTTTAATATATTTCTCTTATTTTGATCATGAAAGAGAAGAGAATAGTCTGCATAACTTAGTTATAAAATGAGAGGTATTTCACAAGCTTTAAGCACACAATAAAATTGCATCTACCAATTGATCTATGTCTACATCCATGGCTTCCCTATATTCTCCACTCATTTCCATTTCAAACCACTATTCTTCCATCACCTTATTCAGGAAACACAATTCCAATGCCCCAAAAGTTGCAAAGCCAAGAGTGTCATGTAAAGCCACCAAGGGTGGCGAACCAGAAAACCATTCAATAAAAAACAACAGCAAAGATACCCAAGAAGAGGGCTTCATGTTTGACAGAAGAAACGTCCTTATTGGCCTAGGAGGCCTTTATGGTACCCTTAGCAAGGATACATTGTCCCTTGCAGCCCCTATCTCCCCACCAGAGTTAACCAAATGTGGTCCACCTGACCTTCCCTCTGGTGCAAAACCAACCAACTGTTGCCCCCCAATTTCCTCAAAGATCATAGACTTCACACTTCCAGTGAACCCCCAAGTTAAGGTCAGACCCGCTGCTCATTTGGTTGATGCCACCTACCTTCAAAACTACCAAGAAGCCCTTCGTCGCATGAAAGCCCTTCCTCTCAACGATCCACGCAGTTTCACCCAACAAGCTAATATCCATTGTGCTTATTGTGATGGTGCATATCACCAAGTGGGGTTCCCTGACCTTGACTTCCAAGTTCACAGCTCTTGGCTCTTCTTTCCCTTTCACCGTTGGTACCTCTACTTCTATGAGAAAATCTTGGGAAGCTTGATCAAGGATCTTGACCCAAATTTTTCCCTTCCATTTTGGAACTGGGATTCCCCCAATGGCATGCCAATCCCTGCCATGTACTCAGATCCCAAGTCACCACTTTATGACCCCCTTCGAAATGCAAACCATAAACCACCAAAACTCGTTGACCTTGACTATAACGGCGTGGAAGACCAAAGCTCGGCTCAACAGCAAATATCAACCAATCTTACCACCATGTACCGGCAACTTGTGTCAAGTTCAAAGACTCCAACGCTCTTCTTCGGTAGCGCTTACCGTGCAGGAGAGGATAGTGATCCTGGAGGTGGCACTGTGGAGAACATTCCTCATGGTCCTGTTCATATATGGACTGGTGATAACACGCAACCTAACTTGGAGGATATGGGGAGTCTCTATTCTGCGGCTAGAGACCCTATTTTCTACTCTCACCATACTAATGTGGATAGGATGTGGTCCATATGGAAAAAGCTTGGGGGAAAGAGAAGTGATATCAAAGACCCTGACTGGTTGGAATCTGGGTTTCTTTTCTACGATGAGAACAAAAACCTAGTTCGTGTGAAGGTAAAAGATTGTCTAGATACTAGAAGGCTTGGATATGTTTACCAAGATGTTGATGTTCCGTGGTTAAAAGCAAAGCCTACATCGCGTACTCGAAGAGCAGTTGCAATGAGTTTTGGTGCTGGTCCAGCACTGGCAGCTGAGACTTCGAAAACTACCAAGTTTCCAGTGGTTTTGGATTCAAGTGTGAGCACTATCGTGAGGAGACCAAAGAAGGGTAGGAATGAGAAGGAAAAGGAAGAGGAGGAGGAGGTGTTGGTGATAGAAGGGATTGAGTTTGAGAGGGATTTGGGTGTGAAGTTTGATGTGTATATTAATGACGAAGATGATGTGCCAGGTGGGCCAAGTAAGACTGAGTTTGCAGGGAGCTTTGTGAGTGTGCCTCACAAGCACAAGCATAAGCACGGTAAGATGAAGACGAACTTGAGGCTTGGGATAACGGAGTTATTGGAGGATTTGGGTGCTGAAGATGATGAGCAGGTGGTGGTGACTTTGGTGCCCAAGTTTGGGAAGGGCCATGTCATCGTTGGAGGGATCAAGATAGAGTTTCACAAGTGAGGATGACGTTACGTGGGATTAAAAAGTTGAATAAAAGCGATACTTGATCATTAATTTCACTGTTCATGAGGTTTACGCTACCTTTTCACCAATAAACTATCGATGTTTTCAGCGACCACATGGCCTGTAGCATGTGGCACATCTCCTGGAGACAAGGGATCGTGCTCATTAAGGTTCTCCTTTCTGTATAATTATATCCCATGTTAAACTACTCCAACAATAAGAAAAATAATAATTAAGAAGCACATCTCAATAAGTTTAAGCAATGTATAAACAAATGTTACATTGTTATGTAAAAAAATAATAAAAAATCGATAGAGATGAAAAAGTAAATAAGATTGGTCAATTTTTTAAAGTAAGAAGAAATCGATAACGGGAGTATTATTAATAAAATTGACTAAATTATAAGATCTTCCAAATGCTCGACTAAAAACTATATTATCAAAAATAGTTGTTGACTTTTAAGGTTTTTAATTAAAGGTTACGTCAATGAAGACGGAGTTGAATAATAAATAAGTATCCAATGGACATTAAAGATTATAACACTTAGATATTCTATGCATTGTAAATTACAACCACGACAGAATATAAAAATTAAACCCTATTGATAACGATAGACATCATATATATAAATAGAAGCATTTGGGTATATGCTGTATGAAACAAATATTTAACATTCACTGTATAAAAATTGTGATATTAGATCGGATATTTATCGACGGATTTATAACCGATCAAAAAATAATTATTACGGATAAAAATTATCGACAGATATAAAATATTTGTAGAATTTGATATTACCGACGAATATATTTGTCGGTAAAATAATAATTAGTTACCGATCGACTGTCGATAATTTATAAATGAATTTACCGACAAAAATATCCGTCGGTAAATCCGTCAATAAATTAACAATTAATTACCGACAGATAATTAACAATTATTTACCGACGTATATTTCCGATCGGTAAATTAACAATTATTTACATCAATAAAATTATATAATATAATTTAATTATTCACCTAATTCAAAAATAAAATATTTTTTATTTAATAATTTAATTTAATCATAATTAGATTAATTTATAATAATTTATTAAATTAAATAATTTTAAAAAATAAATATTTAATTGTATATAAATATATAAAAATATAAAAAAATATAAAAATATAAATATATAAAAATATAAAAATATATGAATATATAAATATAAAAATATATAAAAATATAAATATATAAAAATATAAATATGTAAATATGTAAATATATAAATATGTAAATATATAAATATGTAAATATATAAATATGTAAATATATAAATATATAAATATATATAAATATATAAAATATAAATATATAAATATATAAATATATAAATATATAAATATATAAATATATAAATATATAAATATATAAATATATAAATATATAAATATATAAATATATAAATATATAAATATATAAATATATAAATATATAAATATATAAATATATAAATATATAAATATATAAATATATAAATATATAAATATATTTAGTATATTTGTATATAAATATAATTTATTTGTAAATTGTTATAAAAAAATTCTAGTAGACTTAATGATTAGAGTATCAACCTTCAACCAATAATTCAAAGCTATAAAAATATAATCTGAAGAAATAATTAATAATAAATAATATATAAAAATATAATCTGAAGAAATAATTAATAATAAATAATAAGAATATAAAGGGAGGGGTTTTATAAAAAAAATGCTATAAATAAGTAAATTTTTTAATAAATAATAAAATTATTACAGACGGATTCAAGTCCATCGGTAATTTTGTAACACATTTATTAACGGATAAATCTGTCGGTAATATTTATTTACACTGACTGATTTTGACCATTGATAATTTTAATATTTTTTTATAGTGTATCTTGTTTGTTTTTCTTTTTACTTTAAAATTCTCAACTCCTTAACGTCTTTTACTTCATGTTTCTTTTATATGATGATTTTAACTTTAGGCCTATATTTCTATTTCTATTCATTTAATTCGTTATTTCACTATTAGATCATTTACTCTCATATCTTTCTTATAGTTCTGCAAATTATTTTTATGTTGTTTATGATTATGCAAGTTATTTAATTTTTTAATTTATCATTTCACAACTTATCTTTTATAATTTACATTCGACCAAATATTTGTTAGTTACATGGCTTTAAACTTACATGCATGATCTATAATTACTGTTTTTCTGGGATTAAGTCATTTTATTTGTTCTTTAAAAAATATAAAAAATAAGACAAAAAAATGGTTAAATTTAATTTATATATTTTTAACAAGACAATGAAATTCTGATAATAATATAAGCTTTAATTATTATGATAATAAATTAAGGACCAAAATTGATCATTTTCCATTAAACTTATAAAATCTAAAAAAAAAATCCAAATTAAAAGTTGTTAAACACTGATAATTTAAACCAAAAATAACTTACAACCATATTTGTGTTTAATTAAAATATTATGATTTATATTTTTACTTAAAACAATTGGCATGCCCATTGAGACTTTGTTACCTGTTTTTGTTTTAATTACGCATAATTGGTTAATCTTAAATGTACTATAGCTTTAAGTCCTGATTAACCAATGTAGGTCTAGCCATGACTTTGTTAACCCTACATTAGGGATAGAGATTTCAAATCAAAGGAATCAAACTAAATGGAGACATGAGTATAAAAGGTATATATACGTGAGTCAAAACTGTGTTTAAATAAAATAAATAATAAAAAAACTCATGCTGAGTTATTTTGTTGAATATGAAAGTGGTAAATTTGAAACTATGACTAAGGACAAAACATCTAATTTAAATACCATTGAATTGCAATCGCGTTATTATTATTATATATAAAGTTGGTAATTTTGTAGAGAAAGTGGTTGATTTATACGTGTAGCTTGCGAAATTTAATAAAGGATGACAAATTGGCTACATGTTGGACCATTTCTAATGTCGACAAAACTATTCCTACCTAAAGCATAATATTTTTGGGTGTGTCAATACCAAATCGTAAACCTTCCTCTTACCTTTTAATTTATGAAGTTAAGGAACATGTTATCTTATAATCTGCTAAAATTGTCATCGATGTATGTTAATTTGTTATTGAACATTTAAGCTTCATCAAGGACACATCTTTCATATCCAATTAAATTATTCCTTTTACTGCCACTTGTAAATTTTATTGCTTACGCTATAATGTTACGTTATTATATGTTGAAATCATATTTAGGGATTACTAAGCATTTTCTGGAGATGTGTGAGGAGAAGGGTAGCATAAAGATTTCCAAAGAAAAAAAAAAGAGGCGGGGTTTCAAAGTGGGCCTCCCTGCAACGTGGAATTAATGGGCTAAAGCCCAGTTAGGCAAAGCCGGTGGGCTTTTTCTTTTTACACCTCTATAGAATTCTTGACATCTTCGTTCTGCAGGAAAGTACGAGAAAATGAGAAAATGTTGAAAAGTTACTGAAATAAAAGAAGAAAAACCGACATGGTGTGAACGGTTGGTTTAACATCCCGTTCTCTGCTAACCGTGAGAACATGGGGAACTTCTATTTCTCCGTCATCGCCAAGAAACCCTTTTTCTTTCCTCAACAAACAATTCAACAGGAAACACACATACTAAGATAATGCCTGGAAGACCAAGAAAATAGAAGTTAACCATGCCCTCAAAGTTAGGAGAAAATGTAGTAATGTGAAGTAAAGTGATAAAAGTTAAGAAATTAAGGTTGCTTGTTGGGAGTGGGAAATGCTACTTGGATATATATATATATATATATATATATATATAGCCTAATGCTGAGGCTTTGCCATTTGGTGAAATTATGGCAAAATTTCACTCAGTAGTACACATGTACTTCACTCTCTACAGAAAGTACAATAGTACACAACTTCTAATTGGTACTGCCCCAGATACCTTCTTTTTCTTCATTGTCCAAACATGTATAAATTTTGAGCCTCTAAACTATTATAGTTTTTTATAATAATTATGCTTGTAATTTTTTATAAACAATTCGATTCAAAACATATTTTTTTAAGCTTAATTTGGAATAATTATTTTCTAAAATAATAAATAATTTTTTTAATATTGTTTCAACAACGGTGCATTTTAAAGGAGCAATTGTTTTTATACGATAATTTAGCATAATTTTTTAACAAACATAAAAGAGACGGAAAGAGGAAAAATGAAAAATTGTATGAATAAGTGATGTAATTGTGAGATATAAAAGTAAATCCTGTTCACAGGGACCAATTTGTTCATAGGTCAATTTTTTATATTTTAATTAAATTAAACTTATGACGAAACATATTTAATTAAGGTGTCATAAAAATGATTAAGTTAATTAAATTATAAGAAATAAATGCAGACAAAATTGAAGATTAAATCAAAATTACAAATGGAACAAAATAAAGAGACAATATTTAAACTTAAATTGTTTTATCAAATATTCATATGCATTACAGAAGTGACACTCTAATTTTCATACGAGAATAACACCAAAAGATGTATGGAGCTAGGTCTAAGTTGTCGATTACAAAAAAATGGCGATTGTAGTATGAAGCATTTCGCATGCTTTATGGCGTACCCGTAAGAAAGTTTGTGAATGATCATGGCTGATTCGGGTCACTCTCTATTTCCTTAGCCAATTCTCTTGTCAGTTTGTCAGCACGATCATCATGTCCACCAGCAAATGTATAGACTCGAAATGCGAATTGGAAAGCCCTCCAAAGCAACTTACCGTGTTCTTTTCTCTTTCCATCTCCAATGTTTGATCGTGAATCTCTGGTAGCAGCATCATTGCGCCTCTCCTGCATTGAGTTCATGCAAATATACGTAAAGATACCAAGGTGGATTGATCAAAACTAAATAGTGTTAGTTTGTGATTGTTTTGTAACCTTTAGTGCTAGCTCCATGCAATTGGAGGAAACATCCACCATGGCTTCTTTGATTTTTATGAGGATGTGGAAGTCGAATTCGATGTTATGGCCTCTAAATTTCTTGGATTCTTCATCCTTGGTTCGCTCCAAAGAATCTAATTCTGTTTTTATCTGTAGAAATGAATGTACATATACATTAAAAAAAATCAATACTATCATTGAGGGGATGATAAACCCAGATATTCAGAATCACCTTGTTGAAATATCGTTCAGCCTTGTCAAGGAACTGGCACACAGGAGACACTATATTCCAATTTTGAAGCTCCGTAAGAATTGAATCCAACCTAAGAAAAAGCGCGGTTGCCATTCTTATAGCTTCTAACTTCTTCGAGGGAAAGCCTTCAAATCGAGATAGGACCTACATAGCAATGGATTTTGTATCATGGGATCGAAAGAACGAGCAAAATAATAGATGGTAGTGCATTAACTTGATTGGAGATGAATGCAGTTTCTAAACTCACTTGTGACTCATCAGTTAGATTCTCAAGAACGGATTCAACATCTTTATGGAATTTAACAAGTTCTGTCATATCCTTTGTCTTGTAATTGGTAATAGCAGATCTCAATTCTATGATCTGCTTTGTATACCTCTGAACATCTTCTTCTATTTGTTGGAAGTAAGATGATCTGGTAAAAACAAACCATGGAAATAAAAAGAAAGTGGTGATATATGTATATTTGGTTTCAAGGGTAACAAGCCAAATTCTGGAGTGTTTAAAGTGTATACCTTTTTGTCATCTCTGCTAGAGCATCAGCCATTCCTTGTTTCCCACTAATTCCTGCTCCAATTGCACTGGTTCTCCCACCGGATGATTTGCCTTTGAAGCTAGATCCTTCCACTTTTCCCTTGAGAGCTCGATACAGGTTGCCTAATTGTGTTGATCTTTTCAGTTTGGTAGTTGCCTTAGGGCGCAAGGATCTCCCTGCTCCAGGTGGAGGTGCCGGAGCTGGTCCACTTTTGAATGGAACTGGTGGTGGTGGTGGAACTACTAAACTTGAGCTCAGAGGCAGTGGTGGTGGTGGTGGCGGAGGTAGTGTCACAATTGGCTGCAGCACTAGTGGTGTTGACGTTGGAGGTGGTGATGGGATAGTATATGTTGTGGGAACGGGTGGGGGTGGGGGCGGAGGTGATGATGGTGATGGTGATGGTGATGGTGACGGTGACGATGATGATGATAACAACCTTGGTGCTTTTTGTTGCTGGGTAGGTGTTTCTAATGGTTTGGGAGATACTGAAAGTGTCTCCACATTTTCCATTGCTCGAGGATTATCACATGTTTTTCCATGATCACTAACAGTGTCCAAGTGAAGAACTATATCTTGTAATATGTTGTTTCCAGGATTTTCAGCTTTTTGATCAATTATGTCCATGTTTATAGTTGGTTCCTTCTCTATCTTGTGGGTTTGCATGCGTGGTGGTGTGTGGTAAGATAAACGCTTTAAATCAATTGGGTTAAGCTTTCTCACAGCTTGGCTTCCTAGAGACCAAAGTGGAAGGGCACTAGAATATCTTGGGATCATGGATTCTGAGAGGACAGATTTTGGTGTGACAGGGGAATAAGTGATATCTGAAAAGGAATTATTGGGTGTAACTTTTTTTGAATCATCTTCTTCCATAATATCAAACTTCTCACTCGCAATCTTAATCAAACAATCAAGAGTGGTCGACATAGTTTCACCTGCGAAACAAACAACATAACAATGAACTCAAATTGTACCAAATTCAAGTGAGACAGTGGACAGAAATTCTGAAATCTGATTAATTACTTGATAAGGAAAATGAGATTATTAGTAGCATACCCAGTTGCCGCATATTGGTGTTATCTTTACACGATGGTAACTCATAACTGTGTTTTTCCATACAATCATTGTTAATCCAAGATTCTCCGAGAGATTTTAATGCCTCGCAGAAGTAGGCAAGACCCTAGCAGAAAAGTTTATACATTTAGTATTCTAGGATACAAAATTGTGTAGTAAGTATAATTAAGACAGTTTTAGGTGCTGCAAGTTGAAACCTGATCTATAGGCTTCTCCTGGATATTTGAGACTTTTTTGCTTGGTATGATCCCCGGGTAAAGCCTTTGAAGGTCTTCCAAGGTTGTAATAATCATCTGTAATATGACAGATGGAAAACAAAGGGAGGCAAACTCATCTTTATTTTTATTTTATTTTTCAATTTAATAGAAGGAAGTCATAATTCATAAAGATAAAGTACCTCATGCAAGGAAGCAGAACTATTCATAGGAGCAAGGTCCATGATATCCCTAAAGACAAAGATCTTCTTATGGACCTTCATCATTGAAATCAATTGGTCTGCACCAACAAATGACCACTCAATTGACCCTCCCTTCCCTTCATTCTGAGCCAAAGAAGACTTCTTGGGCGTTGTAGAGCTTTTCATTGACTGAACATAAATATAAAATCCGAATAATATTTGGAATAGCTAAATTGAAATTTCTTGATTTTGTGTACTACTTTAAATGGCAATAGATAATACAAATTTGCAGAATTTTATGTTATGAAAGTTCTCCAAATATGGTGTATCATGAATGTAAAATGACAATTCCAGTACTAGGCAAAATTGAAGCATGGAACAAACCAAGTCATGCAAAATACAAAGATAAAAACAATTGGGAATTGCTTTGTCAAAAGTATCAAAATCCCAATATCCCGATTGAGTTTCTTCTGAATTTATTTTCTCAGATTCTGTTTAAACCAGAAGAAGACTAGAATCTTACCTCAAGAACACACGTCTTTCGTCCAAAGCGAAATGGATTCAAACCACATAACCTCACGTTAGACATGTCTTAATAGGTTTGCTTATATTGACATCAAAACCTGAAATAAATAAAAGCATTATGATGTGCGCACCACAACTTCACAAAGAGTGTATAATAAACAAGTTAACATGTTCAGCTCAAAATGAAACCCCATTGAAGGTATTAAAAGATAAATAAAATAAAAAATCTATAGAATAATTTGCAATAGACGTCAAACCTTTGTTGCGAAGAAATAAAAAAAAATCCAGAAATGAATTTTCAAATTGGCATGATAATAAAAAATAAGGGTCATGCATGCAATTAGGGGCATGATGGAAAATTCTCCAAAGTGAGAGTGCTAAGAATGAAAAACAAACACCTTTTCACTCCAATGTTGTGGATTTGATGGAGTTGTTTTCAGCTTTATGTTGGTGTTTATGCTATGTCTTCGTAGTAATTCGCAATAGCCAACTAATGCTCAACTCAGAAACTGGTCGTTTAGGAACTGTGACAAATACAAAAACACCATAATTCAATCAATCAAGGAATACTATGACTTTTGTTTATCACCCACTTTCCCACACAGGTGTGTTAATTAGTGAGAAGAAGAAGAATAAAAGTAAATATATAACTGGTTGTGTTGAGCACAAAACAGTAAACAGAATACCAGTGTTAAGTATAGGGAGGTTGTAACCAATTTCCTTTAACATTGTATAGTATATATGTTATGAACAGGCTCATTGCTAAAAACAAGACAATGTTAAACCGCTTCGACCCTTTCACATGTCTCTTCAAATTTTCTATATTTAATCAACTCAATAATTTCTTTCAGTTCCCTCTTTTAAGTTCTAACAAACTACTTAACATTGGTTTTGAGTGTTAGGTGAAACTGTTGCTGAATTTACTTCCGAACCCATTTTCTCTTGCTCCTTATACTGTTCCAACTTGTTATGAATGAGTAATAATGTCACTTTCTCACTGCCTAGAAACAGGAACTGAAATTGGGTTCGAAATGAATAAAAAATTCCATGCCTGGGAATTTGTCCATCCAGTTTTATAAAAATACATGTAGTTTGGTCGTCTGCTCCAACTACAGAATAAGGAGAATCTTTCCTCACCTTAAAACTACTGATTCTTTCACTATTTGATTTGTAATTTTGAGTGCATCGTACGAAAAAATCCAAGATTTTTTTTTCTTTACTTGTTAGCACATGGATGGCAACATTCTTTTCGAGTTTAATCAAAATCGTGTTTTGTCCAACAATTTTATTCGCAGAAATTCTTGAAACGATACTAGACTAGTTTGATATGAAAGTGGATACTTCTTTTATATACTACGGCATTAAAAAAAATTTAAAACATTACTTATAAAATTAATTTGTATCTTTTTAATTTGTGATCAGCAGAACTAACAATAGAAAAACTCAAGATAAAGTCTTAATAATAGTATTCAAAACAAATATAATTTTCATTTTATAAAGTTGAATTAAACTTAAATTCATATTCTAGAATGATATCAAAATTTGATTAAATAATGAGTTGAAAATTTTATATAATTAATCACATAACTAAAAAAGTATATAAGTGTAAGACCTCAAAATTAATGATTATCTCTGAATCTACACTGGAATATTATAAGAGAAAGATCCAACTCCACTTTTAAGAGTATTGTCTAAAAATAAAATATTTTTCATTCCATGGTTGCATGCTTTCTTTAGGAAAATATTTGTTGGATTGATCAACAAAAATAGACAACAATTTTTAAAATTTTTTTAATATTATGTATATAGACGAAAAAAAGGAGAGATAAATATAATTATACATGATAATTACGGAAGGAGTAAATATATTTATTTTCATATTGAAACAAAATAATAGTTTGCTTCATTCAGTATTTGGTATGCATCTCATCTGCTGGGGTTGACCTGATGCTAAGCATTTTGTAATTCTGTCCTATAAACACAGTCACAGTGAATAACATAATAATTTCCTTGCTACTCTACAGTATCTAGCTATGTTCATTAACAATAAATGTGCATTTTCAAATTTTATTCGATATCTGCATAAAAATCAGAAAATTCAGAACATTGCAGAAACAAGTTCTGAATATTTCACTTTCTTTTTCCTAGCGGCGGTATAATTAACAATGGAATCAAAACAGGAAAGCAAATTCACAATTATTTGCAAAAGAATAAAATTATTTATAAAGGTTTCATACAGTACAAAGAACAAAGAATGCCGGGATATACAATCCACACAACCTACTAAACTTAAAATTTATTTATCCAACAAATCCTTTATGACAAATTTTCACCTACAATTGATAAAGAATCTATTCATATACAACCGTGAAACAAAACAAAACAAAACAAAACATTTTGAGTGATTATAAGACTGAGAATACATGCAATAACTTACACTTTACCATGTTGCTTAAAAACTCTGCATCCGCATCGAACTGACAAGTTTTGTTATATTCCCCTGACCTTGACAGAACTGGTTCTGTTTGTCTCTTTTACAGGTTGAGTCTTGTTCTTGTCACTCTTTGGTGAAACCCTTGCTGTTTTACCTTCAATTTGGTCTTTCTTGGGCACACCTCGAGCAAGACCAGAGGATGCAGTTCTTTCAGCAATTCTCCTCTGACGTTCATTCCGCAATTCTTCCATCTTCTTCCTGATCTCATCTTCCTGTTAACCACCATACACACATTAAGAGTTAGGATTAATAATGCTACTGAACGTGCCACGTGAGTATCAAATAAAACAATGGCACTGAACAACTGAAAAATGACAATACCTGTTCCCTTTTGCTCTTCGGAACAATAGGCCTATTAGGGAGAGATGGCTTTCTGGCCCTAGAAATGATTTCAGGTTTGCCCTTTCCAAAGGAACTACGCAAGGCTTTTGACTTCTCATCCTTTTCTGAACTTTTTGTTCCAGAAACTTTGCTTTTGCTCGCATTGGTTTTCACAGGACTAGCAGGAAGGTTGTCATTCACCTCGTCATGAGAATGGTCAATGGAGGATCTTCTATCAGTTTCTGAGAAGGAAAAGTCAATTTCATAGTCCATTTTCCTCGAGCCCTCAACAGAATCTAATCCAGAATCACGTTGTAGAACTACAAAGAGGTCGTTCGGCTCCTGGTTCTTTGATAATGCACCATTTGAAGCAGCTGCATCACTTTTAAGCTTGTTGGCAACAGTTAGATCTGCAACCATACTTAGGTCCGTCTTCCATTGGGAATCAGAAAGATCATTATCTACTAATTGACCCTGAATCATGAAGGAATCATCAATGAGAGTTCTTTCACTTCTTTTCTCAGATTGGGAATGACCATTCACTGGCGAAGTGTAATCACCATCAAACACTGCAGGCACAATTGACGGATCAGGGCTCCTCATCTTTTCCAAATTTTCAACAATAAACCAATCATCTGATGTTCTGCCCTTTGTTTGTAATGAGTCAGCAGAAAATGTAGATAATGGATCACCAAGCTCATTTCCTAGTTCTTTTGATCTATGTGATAACAACATTTCTTCACCCACATTATCCCTGCCCTTTGTAACTGGACCACAGTTGTCCACATACTCATCCAGCTTGGATCCACCTTCATTACCTCCACCTCTCTGAGTCACAATAAAGGAGTCATGTGAAGCTTTAGGATTCTTGAGAACTTCTTTGAAATCCAAGTTTGGATTTGAACTAGCAGCATATGGCATTCTCTCTTCTGAGCTTCTCACCACAAAATGTTCGTCCTGGACATCAATTGACTGCGTCCTTTCTAGTCCATCAGTTCCAGTAACCTCATCAATCTTCAAAAGGTTCTGGAATGCACTCCAGTTGTCATTTTTGTTTCCTCCTTCTGAAGTGTCACTCAAGTTTTCAGGGAGATCCTCCTCGGTTGCATCACTTGATTTAGTTCCATTGTGCCGGATTACTGCTTTTTTTCCATTAGCACGTTTTTCACTTTTATGGACCTTTTGCAAAGATTCAAGTGCAACACCGACCTTTTGTTTGATAGTTTGTTCATCTATGACATCATCTTCTTCGAAAGATTCGTCAGAGACTCCATCCTCATTTCCATTTCTCCTCTTTGGAGTGATGTAGTTGATATTACGAATCACAACTGTTCCGGATGACTTTCTTCTGTGCTTTTTCCTCTTAGGATCATCCTTAGAAGAGTTACTGGAGTGATTCTGTTTTTCTAAATCAGATTCACTCCCAGACTCAGGATCACTGGATTCTGACTGCTGGTCTTCTTCATATTCTTCTGCTCTTTTCTTATGGGATTTATCTTTTTTGGTTGATGATGATTTCTGATTCACTCCCAGTTCAGAAGACCATTGCATATTCGATAGAAGGTAAGGAGGAACAGTCTGCATATTAGTCATAGGATATCCTTGGTATGAAGGCATTTGCGGAAGATTATACATATATGGAGGCATATTATAAGGCCAGGGCATTGGCATATGAACATTTGCTGTATGTGAAGGTTTCTGATCTGGTGTAGGCAGGTTCACATCTGCACATGACATTCCTTGATATTAAATATCATTTACGGCTTATACAAAACAAAATATGATATCTATATGCTCTTTAATATGGCTTTATTAGATACAGCAGACAGACATCATTATGTAAGCAGATTCCTGATTAAAGTGCTGATTTCGGCTGCATTTTGAATTCTGTTCAGGACTATAAACATTCAATTTTGGTGCCTTTAAAATTTGAATCAAGAATCATCTAATAGATTAAACTTCAGAATGAAAATAGTTAGTTCATTGAAATTAAATTGATAGGAAACGCAATGTTAGTGAGTCTTACATATTTTAAGATTTTTTCTGATTTCAATCACTCTTGACTAGAAGTTCCACAAATCCATTCTCATCAATTCTTATTTTTGTTTTCTATTCTTCTTAGACTTTTATTTCCCTGACATCAACTTCTTTGAGTTATCCAGAGATTTTCAGCTATTTAAAACAAGTTGATTTAGCCTAAATTGTAGGTAGAGTATCAAAATAAAGAAGTAGAAATAGAAAACTAAAAATATTTGTTGTTATAACCCATTAAAAGATAAAAGACAAGAAAAAGAAGCATTGATTATTGGGTTTGGTTTGCGTATGATTATCAAATTTAAAATTCTGAAATTTGATGTGGATGTCAAGGTTTCTGTAAATTTCTGAATACATTATACAATCAAGGTACAGAAAAGGGAAAAGGAAGAAAGAGTAAAAGAATACCTTCTCTTTTGTTTAAATTAGAATTCGATGTTTCTGAAAGTACATTTCCGTCACCAGAAGCAACGCTATTTTGGTCATGGGCGATTATATCATTTGCCAGTATAATTCCTGATGATCCAGACAACGAGAGTGCCGGTGGCAAGCTTGACTGCATAGCAGCTACTTCTTTTATCCAAAGATCATCTGCATGTTTTTTCTTCCATAATTCCTTAAAATTAATGCAGGCTTCCCTACATACATTGAATATCAAGTCTTAGAGGTTATTTAAAAGCTAAAGGTTTTACGTCATGAGGCAAGATCCACCGGTCCACAACTATAGGTTACTAGTTTTAAATGATTTATGAGACTCATTGTAAGAAAGCAGGTGTGTTTTGCAGAAATTTCCCCCTAATCTGATAATGCTGGTATGAATAGTCATTAGGACGTGTGAAGCACAGGATGACAGTTAGAGTTTAAAGGAAACAAAAATATTCACAATAATAGGTTCTCATTTCTCAATGATCCTTAGAATAGCAAGGAATGAGAGAATTGACATCCAAAAGTAGTTGAACCTCCATAGCAAAAAGAGGGTTCCCCTTAGACAAGTGAAATTTCAGGATCTACAAAGTAGGGTCAATGGTTAAAATAATTTTAAGTCATGAAAAGCAAGGGAAAGTTCTTTTGAGGAAAATAAAATTACTTTCCAGAAACGGTTGGAAAAATAGCATTGAAATTATGAGTAAGAACTGATGATAGTTTCGTTTTACTGTGTACAAGTAAGAACTAGTAAGTTCTATATTTCCAGTTCATACCTTAATCGGATTGCTCCAAATGCATTTGCAAAGTATATGAGATCATCAATGCTGTCAATTTCAAATCCAGCAACAAGACCACGTGAATAAGCCATTGCTTGCTCCTTCCGGAGTAGTGCTATTCGAGATTCCAAGAGACGATGCAGGGAAACCCTTATCATTATAGCAGTAGAAAGTGTTAGGAAATGTTTTCAAAGAACTAGTGAATTCATCAACAGAAACCATTGAAGAGGGAGAAAGTTACTTTGAGCTTTCCTCTTCTTTGTTGTCAACACCTTCAAGTACATCATTTAACTGAAACAAAAGAAAATGTAAATTAATAAAAAAAAAATCTTGGATTATTAAGTAATTCTAACATTTCTTTAAGAAAATAAGTACCTTCGCAGAATCACTTAACCTCCTTGTGTTACCATTGTTTTGTGGCACGATTCCTAATACACAATAAAATTTTTAGTAAAAAAAATAGCTCCAATTAAGTAACTCATGATTAGGCGTAGGGATATTATGCGCACAGCTGTTGGAATTTAATTATAGCACCTAACACTAAGCAATTCATGCAGCAATATCCATAAATCATGTTTAAGATGCAGCTTCTAACCGTACCTTCGTCAGGGGTTGCATTGGACATCGACAAAGCATTAGCTTGAAATGAACTTTCAATCTGAAGAATTTCGTTTTCAAGGCTAACAAACCTCTCCAGAATAGCCGGTGTGCTGACAAAACGCACAAATCTGCAAAAGACACCCCGCCCCAAAAGGAAAGAGAGAAGACACAAAATGAAATGAGCAAAATCAGCTTCATAAAGCTTAAATTGGATGAATGTGGATACTGAATGGAGAAGCAGGGGATAAAAATAGAGAAGGTTTTGATAATTTTCACAGATTCCTTCCTCTTTTTCGCCTTCAACTGAATACTAGTTTTCAATCACTCCCACCGCCTCCCCCAGAAAAAAAAATTCCCTAAATCTAAAAAACCACGTAAACTAAATCCATTATTAAATCACGAGTTATCATTCAAGAGCTGGAATTTGTTAATCAATCCACTGATTTGACACTACCACGTACTTTAACTAAACAAGTTGATGGCTGTCAAATAAAATAATTATTAGTAGGGACAAAAAAAAAAGTAACTTCAACAGCAATCTAAGTAGTAAATAATGATTATCATTGGCGTTGCAGAGGTCCACGAAGAGGTATCTATCCATGGTAGTAATCTGAGTGGAGAATGATTACCCCTTATACTAATTGTGTGAACAAAATTAGAAAGTTCTTCAGAGACCATTCCCATTACAATATGCAAACATTACAGGCTTCAATTATTATGATTATTGATTCACGGGCTCTTCAATTTGATTGGAAAGCATTAGGAAAGTTGTTGGGATTGAAGAAAGAGAATGATAATAATCATTAAGAGGCCAAAAGAGATAACGTCAAAATGAATAGAAGCATCAATCACCTCTCAAAGGTGGCTCTGGTGAACCAGAAGGCAGAGTTGGAGGGTGGCAGAAGCTTAATTGAGTATCCACCTTTGGAGATCTCATCTCTGACGAATTTGAGATGAGAAACGAAAGGCTCAAACAACCCAGAAGCTATTTTCTGATGAGCACCTCCACAAAAGACTAACAACTCACATCTGCAAAGGGAAAGAAGAACATCAACCAACCACAGAAGCATAACAAAGCACCCAGTAGAATTGTTTAGAGAAAATAACAAGGAAAAAGAAAGAGTTGAGGTGACCTGGTTCTGGTGGGAGTGAGTTGAAACAAAGCATAATCCAAAATGGCCTTGGAATTGGAAGCCATGTGAGAGCATAAGGGGATACTTGGTGAAGTTAAGAACAAGAAGGTTAGTTTTGGTAGTGGTGAAGTGAATAATGATATGTTGTTGTGTGAACGTGAGAGAAAGGGTTAGCGAGAGAGGAGGGGGGGGAGATGCAGCATGGCACATGGAGTGTGAAGTGGGGCAATAATATTATAGGATTTCAACGCCCTGACCACATGCAACAGCGACACCTTCTGCTTTGTCTGCGTATCCAACACCTTTCTTTACACTCCCAAAAATCAACTACGATTAAGTAATAAAAATGTTAGGCGGGGTAAGTTTGAGAAGATGAAGGAGTGAGTTTCCAAAAGATTATCATTTGATAAAAGACATTATTGGAAGCTTTCTCCGCTGTTTGGTGGGTCATGTTTGGTCTTGCAACGGAGGGTCATTAATTATCGGGTTGGAGAAGGAATATGCTCCTCAGAGGAGTGTGTGACTTAATGGCTTCTTCTTCTTCTTCAAATTTCAATTTCATTTCGCCATTGTGGCATTCTTCTCTGCATTAGAATTTTAAGAGGACAGATGATTCGGTTGAGATTTATTTATGCTTGACCAAATAAATGACACTCTTACCAAAGGACCATCCAGAGTAACATGCAATTTTTTTTTTTTATTTTCTTTTGGTCTATAGGAGGCTCACATTAAACATCATGAGAAAGAGACAATGAAGGGAAAATATGAAGTAGTGAGAGAAATTTTTAACGAGAAACCAAAAATTAAGAAGGGTATAGATAAATCATAATACATCATCATAGTCACGAAGACAAAACAGTTGAGTTGTTGTCTTTTGGTCATACATTTACTCTAGATTTTTTTGAAAGTATCAATCATTCAGGACAAAACAAATTATTATATATATATATATATATATATATATATATATATATATATATATATATTTTCAGTATGTAATTTTAAATTATATCTTCTATAATTATTGCACATCATATAAGGATGATTAGCCTGATAATTACCCTTACATTTGTGATTAAATACAGAATTTGAGTTTGAACTCATTAAAGATTTTCTTAAAAAAAACTTGCCGAGTTGATTTCATTTTAAGATATAAAAGATAAAGTCTTGAGACAAAAACCAAGTGGAATTGTGATTAAAATTCCAAGACAAGACATAAGGAGTTTGATAGTGACTAAACACATTGAATTATTTGATGATCTAAAACAAAATCCTAACCATTTGTTGAGAAGAGTAAAGGGGGTGAATGTGTTTAGTTGAATAAAAAAAAGAGAGGTGGATCTGATCTGAAGCCAACCATCAAACAGCTGTAATGCTCACTTTAGCTGGAAAAAAAGGCAATATGCATGTGTGGGGTTCAATGAGTTGTGTTCTTTTCTCTCGTGTTCTCTTCTGCGATGCACATCAACACCTTCTAAAACAATGCCACAAAAATTCTTATGCCATGCCATTCGTATTTTCCTCCACACTTTTTTCTTAACACTAATTAATTAAAAATATTTTTCCTCATTTGTACACACCTTAAGATGTAAAATTTATAATTAAAATTATTTTTTAAGTATGAATTTTAACTCATATGTTGAGTGGTTTAAAATAATAACAACCACTCGTTTTTTTTATATGGATACCGTATCACAACATGTGCCAAAATGCAACATATGCCTTATTTTATTTCTAATAATTGATACCCTTGGAAAACTAAAATTGCCTGTCTTCATACAAAAGAATATGGTTCCAGAAAATTATACCGACAAATGAAACCAAACACAACAAAATGGCAATAAAAAAAAAGACCATGTGTATTATTTTTTTTATTTAATGAAGTTTAATATGTATTTGGTTTCTAAGCATTTTTCAAAATTTATATTTTAATATTTTTATTAGTTTTATTTCTTTATAAAGTGCCCTCTATTTCCATTCCTACACACTTAAGTATTCAATAATTAGAGAAATTTAAATTTTAAAATTTATTTACTAATTCAATAAATATGTTTTTTTAATATACTATAAATAAATTATTTTCACGAAGAAATGAGGTGTAATTGCCTTTTACTCATCATTTTTGTTTGGTTTGAAAAAAAAAGTAAGCTAAACGGAAAATTATTATTGACTGGTTTTTATTTTGACACATTTTGTAGAATTAACTAAGTTTTATTAGAATTTGTAAAATGATGTGGTATTATTTTTATTTAACAACTACATAATGTCATAATTTTTAGTAAAATATATTAATAAGATATAATGAATACAAATATTAAAAGAATAATTTCAATATTGTTAACGATGAATGATATTGAAAGAAAAACTGAGATGGACTTTTGAATTACCCAATTATTGTGGATCTATAAATATAAGCTGTCCAATGGACTCGAGAAAAATGGTATGGGCCCGTATAAAGCGTGAACTGGTCCATTTAAAAGCTTTAATTTATATGGAAAAAGGATTGCAGTAAAAACTGGAAGTTAATAGCTTATGAAACACGTGAAGTTTTGTTGTCTTATATATATATATATATATATATATATATATATATATATATATATATATATATATATATATATTTTTTTTTTTTTTTTTTTTTTTATATATATATATATATATATATATATATATATATATATATATATATAAATAAAGGAACGTAGTTGTTTCAATCAAAAAAGTATATTTTTTTAATAAATAATTTTTAGCTTATTTTAAATAAAAATATATATTTACTTTTTTAATATTATTTATTGATCCATGATATATTAATTTAAAAAAAACACTCATTTTATTAATATAATAACTATGAAAGAGATTTAATAAAAATAAAAATAAAATTTAAAATTATTATTCTAATATAAAATTCAATTGTTTATGGGTTGTTAAGGTGAACAATGGTGTGAAGATATGTTTTTGTTTATTTGTTTTAAAACTGGCCCCATACGAGTAAATACTTGAATTCGACGTTGCAGAGGAATAGAAATTCAGAATCTAGATGAGCCCAGCACAAGAGCTTCCTCTGTAACTTCTTTGTAGTTTACAAGAGAGACGAAGAGTGGTCAATCTTGCTGGTAAAGCTTCCTCGTTTCTTCCTCACTCAATTCGCTTTTTCATCATTTTCCTTCTAAACCCACGCGGTTCATCTTTTGGACCTTCCTTCCTTAAACTATTTATATCATATATTATGTTCCTCATTGCTTTATCTTTTAGACTTTGCATAGACTATTATCTTCATTATTGATGGTTTTGTGTTATATATAGAAATAAAATTTGAGTAATTCAAGGTTGACTTCATATTATATTATAAATCGTTATAACTTCATCTGATGTTTTGCATATTTTCCGATTGTTTAAATTATTATATCACGTTGTTATGGAAGATTAATTGTACCAAAACTATTTGATAACAACAAAGCACAAAAGTGCATGATGTTTGTCAAATGTCGTAAAGGGAGAGAGGCAATATCCAAGATATATACTATACCCGAAAAAAGATATTTTGACACCACTATTCATACAAACAACTCTTTAAACAATTGTATTTTATATTATAATAATAATTTGGACATTTGCAGAATATTCAAGTGAGAAGGTTTCAATGGATCCGTGTTTTCCCTTGGTAAAAAGCATAGCTTCTAGAGGAAAACGACATAGAATCTGGCCACTCTAATGCAGATCCCACCAACATAAGCTTTGAAATTCTAGTATTTCTTTATCAATTAACAATTAAAGGACACTGTTCTTCTGACCTATGTTTATATTTAAACTTGCATGCACTAGGACTGAAACAAAACAACACAAGGAAAAAACACAGACACAACATTTTGGACTTAAACACACACCAAGTCCAAAAGCAAAGCCATGTTTAGAGCCAACCAATGCATTAAGATTGCTGAGCCCGCGTACGATGTTTTCATTTAACTATCGCAAGGCTGATAGTGGGAGCCAATTCGTTCCTTTGCTCTATGCTCATCTGATAAACAATGGAATGATACCCTTTTTGGACACTATGAACATGAAACCTGGCCAGAAGCTGTTTGAGCATATTAACAACGCCATAAATAGCTGCAAGGTTGGTGTTGCTGTCCTCACAGATCGTTATTTCGATTCTTACTTCTGTCTTCACGAGCTTGCCCTCCTCAATGAGTCCAAGAAAAGAGTCGTCCCTATCTTTTATGACGTCAAGCCCTCGCAGCTTCAGGTTAAGAACAATGCACGTTATCCCCCTCAAGTACTCCAAAGGTTCTCCGAAGCTCTTGAGGAAACTAAATACACTGTAGGACTCACCTTTGATTCGTTAAATGGGTAGCTATTCCTTATTCTTACAGTTAACTTCTTTTCAGTAGAACTGGCTATATAGATATAATGTAATGTGATTAACGCCATAACCTGGATCTTGATTCGTTCAGAGACTGGACGGAGCTGCAAAGAAAGATTTCGGATGCTGTGATAATGAACTTGTTTGAAGTAGAGGAGGAGGAGGAGAGGAGGAGGAGAACGGCATGCAACATTCAACCGTGACAACAGCATTTGAAGCCATCCATCTCATTTTTTTCTCACTTGCTATTTAGTCTAAAATAGGTTTCAACTTTATATTTTTTATTCAATATTACCGGAATTTTAATTATTCGACGGATGGAATGCATTTTATTTAATCTCCTAATAATAGTTTAGATGAGTTTGCTTTCGGTCTCTTAAATATAAAAAATAAAAACATATAAATATATGAAAGTATGCAAAAACATGTTATATAACTTATGATTCCAACCAAATTGGCACTCGAACTTATATCAATAATATGTAATGCTGTTAAAAATAACAAAAGATATAAGGATCAAGCCAAAACCACTTAATGAATAATCTCCTAAGGTAAGTTATATTTATCTTTAAAAAATAACTCATAAATTAAATTTGAAATAGTATCACCACCATTAATATTAAATTAGTCCGATTATTTATTAGTATATAGTTCTTTTTATACCCATGAGAAATAATTCATTTAATTGTAAATATAAATATAAGAGGGTTATTTTTTAATATAAATGATTAAAATTAATTTTTATTTTTTATTTTAAATATAAATATTATATGGTAACTTTTATAATGTAATGATTAAAATAATTAATATTTCATATTATTAAATTAAAAAATATAAAAAAAATAATTCTCTTAATATATTATTATTATTATTATTATTATTTATCTCTCTATTAAAAAAAAAGTTAATATTCCACTTTAAACAAAAAAAAAAAAAGGTACCTTTCCAGTTTTGAAATCTGATATTGACTCTGTCAGGTAGGTTGTAAATATGAGATTCTTGATTTGCTTATGATCAAATGAACACCAAGATATAATTAAGAAAGGTAGCTCCACCCTATTGAAACCAAGAACATCTAAGCATTTACTTTCAACACTATTATATAAGCACCAACTTATAATAGATATAATTAAAAGGTGTTTAACTTTATAAAATTAAAAAATAAATTTTATATTATAATTTTATTATCTATTTACGTTGAAGGAAATTTAACATTATATACATTCCTAAAAATTTGACTGAGACTAAAAATATATTATAATCCAAAATTATCAAATAATTATCTATTGACAGTTTCTAGGGTATGAAAGGATCCATTTCCAGTTTTGCATATACTCTTTCACTTCATTTCCTCAATATAATATTCCTCCATAATAAAAATAATTTTAATAAAATAAAGAGTTAAAACATGTGACCTTTACACCATCATAGATATGTGACCTTTTTCACGTATGCATCTTTAAATCCTTCATTGAGATTTTTAATAAACATGAACTTAATACCATGCTGCTCAAACCCTTATTCTTTGTTTTGATCAAAGCGTGATGCATGAAGGTATACCAAAAAAACCTCAGACCACAACTTCTGCTACTGGTTTCTTCACTCGTCGGGAGCGTAACAACCATGATAATTAAAATAAAAATCAAATAAAGCACAACATTCAAAGCATTTTATATTCTTTACTCAATAATATTATTAAAATCATTTTAAGATATATGAAATTAATAAATAAATTTATTATTATTTTTAATTTAAATAACTTTTCCTTTCTACTTTATTTTGTTTTATTTTCTTTCTTTCTTTTTTATCTTTATATTTTTTTCATTTTTATTCTATCCTTTATAAAAAAAGTTCAAATTTGTATCTATACATCTTACCTAAATTCATTAGAAATATTTTTTTATTTAATTAACTTGTTACATATTATTAATTATATTTTATTTATTATAATATATTATATCAATTATTATTTTTTTACACTCAATTTTATATTTTGGATTATTATTATCTTTTGAGTCTTATATAAAAAATTCATTAAGAGAGTAAATCAGTTATTCTAAAATATAATATTCTCTTATCTAAAAACTTATTTGAATTTGAATGTTGGGAAACTTTTCATATGGTTCTCTGTTCTTTAAAAAAAAAACTATAACATCCTTAAAATCAAAGTTCAAACACGGTTCCAACTTCACACGCATTTTTTTTTTACGTCTTACAGTATTGTAAGAACAAAATTCAATACAATCATTTTGATTTTATCATGATTGAAGGGTTTCAACATATGGTCTACATATGTACAAATCTTATTACATGGTAGGAGTGTTGTTTTATTGCTGATTTTGTTTTGAAGGTGATGTTCCTTCAACTTCAACTATTGTCTCAATTATATTTAGACGTAATATTTCACTCTGCGTCTTCTTTATAACACAATTATGAAACATCATACAATTGTAACCCCCTTCTCCAACCTTTGTCTCAATTGCTCAATTTTTCATTCCATCTTCTCAGTAAAGTACGGGTTTTCACAATAAATTGGGCTGAGCTCAATATCGTAATCAAAGAGAGGTTTCGGTAAGTTTGGCCCAATACTGAGAAAAAAAAAGAATTATAGGGCTGGGTCACACCCTACACTAATTGATCCAATTCAAAACTTTACCCCAAAAACAATTGAGTATAACTTAAACAAATATATATCCACCGAAAGAAACAAATAATAACAAAACAACTAAATCAAAATTATCAGCCAAGAAATAAATAAATCAAAGCGACAAATCCATTCAATAAAACAATAAAACCCGCAAGCTGTATAACTTCTTAAAAATAAATGCGTCAGCTTGACTTGTCTGTGTTTATTTAAAAAAAAGTGATTATTGAAAAGTAATATTGTTTTAAGTAATTTTTTATATAATTTTTGTAATTTTAATTTATTTTTTCTTTTCCTCAACATCGAGTAACTTCAATTTGCTTTTAAAACAAAAACAGAAAATGACTTCTTTTTTCTCTTTATTTTTTAAATAAATTCATTCAATCACATTTAAAATCATAATAAATAATTATTTATTATGAAAAACGTTTTTCTAAAAGAAAAAGTCAAACAAACTGACCGAATATCTTTACAAAATATCAATAATAATAATAATAATAATAATAATAATAACTTAAACTTGAGAAATGCGCATAACTATGTTATTTGACTTTTATTTATTTGGGGTTCAAGTAAAAAAGAACGGAGAGCCTTGTAACGGGAGCTCAAACACATGTTCTATGCACATTGGAAGAGTCATATTCTTGAAAATATGGGTTCATACGGTTTACTCCTGAGATTCATTCATATTCAGAATCGAATATATTATTTCATACATATAAATAGTGACATATGAAATCATAATTATTAATAATTAAAATTAAATTAAATAAATATTATCCAAACACTTTTTGTCACATCTACAAATAAAATAAACATAATCATCCGTCTAACCATTGTATTATATAAGACTAATATCAATGATTTAAAGAAATTAATAGTATTTTATTCTTAGATATTCGTCATATATGCGTATTTATGTATTACTTAAGTTGAATGCTTTTTTTGAAAAGTAACACTAAAAGATTATAAAAATCTAATATATCTAATCCACATATTTAAAAAACAAATTAGTATTTCATGAAAACAATATTTATTTCACTATAAATGTTTTGATTAAACTATTATGTCTTATTTTTAATAGCTTAAAAATTGAATTCAACATTAGTATACAAAATAAATAAATTTAACTATGGGTTACGGTTAAATAAAAATGTAATCTTAAATAAATTTTAGGAAAAGATTTTATATTTTTTGAATTCATATGTTTTTAGAGAAGAAAATAGAAAGAAAAAAAAACATGAATAAATATAATGTATAATGTCGAGAGGAAAAAAATACATACGATTTAAGAAACACTGAAGAAAGACATAAAAAAATATGATAGATAATACCAATGAAAAAAATCAGGCCTATCTACTAATCACTCATTGCAAGTTAATCAAATTAAGAATTAAATAATAATTAAAATTCAAATATATTATCAATCAAACCAAATAAATACTATTTCATTTCTTATTATAATAAGTAAAATTAATAATATAAACATAATATACAATTGTAATTTTTTTATAATGAAAATATATATAAATTATTTCGTGAAAAAAACTTCTTAAACATTAAACTCGAATGAATATATTTTATTTGTTTTAGGATCTTTTTTGTTTTTCATAAAAAGTATGATAATAAATATTTAAATAAGAAACTAACACACCTGATATTTTTTTAATGAAAACCTAAAGTTTAATTTGATGAAAGACAAATTACCTTATTGATTTCTCAAACTTCTTTTCAATATTAAATATGAATTATTGTAAAACAAATGATTTATTTTATGTCTACAAATGAATAAATATTGCTTTTATTGATTTATTGTGAAAGGGAAATGTCCGCGATAGGTAAAGTAAAATATTTTGAGTTAGACGGAAAAAATAGCAAGAAAAATAATTAATAAAAGTAATCGGTAAATTAAAGAAGAAATGGGTGAAACTGAATAAGTATTTTAAAAAAGTAAAAAAAAAGTTATATATAATTATTTATATTTAGGTCATATATTGTCTATTTAGATCAATTTTTTCATTTTTTTTGAATAAAAAAAGTTAAATGAAAATAACTTTTCTACAAACTTAAATTAAGTTATATATAAATAAAAATAAAAATTTTAAAAACTAGAAAAAAGAACTTGAATAAATAAATTTTATTTTACTTTTTTTTCAAGAGTTGAGGGGGAAAATTATTTTAAGAGATTTTATAAAAGAAGCTCCTATTTGAGTCAGTTAAGAAGTAATATATTTTGGGTTTAAGTTGTATGATAGGTATGACTTGGTCCTTAAAAGAAATTTCTGCAAATAAAAGCATAATAACATGATATAAGAACTCAAGATGGTTGAAAATAGAATCTTTTGGACGAATTAAGAGATTTGAGGATAATTAATTATTCAATTTATTTGCGTAAAAAGTGAACAAAACAGGGTGGAATGGTTCTTTTGACTTGCTTACTTCTCTTTGATTTGAACCTTTCAAAATGTTGGTAGTCACCAAAGAATGGTCACAATAGTGGCTTCTCATCTAGCTACTTTCAACGGCTACATTGAACCAAACTTAAGACAGAACAACCCA